TTCAACTCCTGAGCCCAAGCAGCCCTCCCACCTCTGCCTCCTGAGTAGCTAGAGTTACAGGCACAAGTCACTGCACCCAGCTCCTTTTGTGGTTAAATAGAGCATTTCATATTTCAGTTTCTCTTTTTAGCATGTCAGTTACTTTTTTTTTTTTTTTTTTTACTCTTTTTAGTGGTTGTCCTGGAGTTTTCAATATACATTTACAACTATTCCAAGTTCACTTACAAATAACACTATATAGTACCTTAGAATAACAAAATAATCCTAATCCTTGCCTTCGGCTCCTAATCATGGTTGTCATTCATTTACATGAAAATACATAATTGAATACACTGTTGCTATGATTCTCAACAAACTGTTATTTGTTAGATTAGGAATAGGATGGCTGGGCGAAGTGGCTCATGCCTGTAATCATAGTACTTTGGGAGGCTGAGGTGGGTGGATTGCCTGAGGTCATGAGTTTGAGACCAGTCAGGCCAACGTGGTGAAACCTCATCTCTACTAAAAATACAACAAAAACAAAAAATTAGCCAGTCATGGTGGTGTGTACCTGTAATCTCAGCTACTCAGGAGGCTGAGGCAGGGGAATTGCCAGGGAGGTGGAGGTTGCAGTGAGCTGAGATCATGCACTGCATTCCAGCCTGGGCAACAGAGGGAGACTCTGTCTCAAAAAAAAAAAAAGAAAAAATGAGTTTTTTATTTCCTGATCACATTTATTCTCTACTACGCTTCCTTTCCTTTTGTACATATGAGTTTCTATATCATTTTCTTTCTCTCTGAAGAACGGCTTTTAACATTTCGTTAAGGCATGTCTATGGTAATGGTTCCTGTGGAGATAGATTTCTACTTTGGTACACTGATTCCTTTATTTGCTGTCTCTCCAATTTGTGGGGCACTGGTTTTCTGTGTGACCTCAGTTCTCTATGACAGATCTAAGAGGAGTTAATTTTTCATTTTGCTTTTTACTTGTTGTTTGGATGCAGTGATGACTGCCAAACTCCTTATATACCAGACCAGAAACCAGAAGTTTTTGCTCAGATTTTAGTGCTTATTATTTTTAATCTGGATTCCTGGGGTTCACTCCTGTGTCTGCATAACTTAGTGTTGACCCACTGATTTGGGCAGAAATTATACTTAACTACACTCAGGCTATATGTTGCCCATACTGTCAATTGATCTATATGTAGATGAAAATACATTCCAAGCTCTTGCAAATTTTGTATTCTTTGGTTGTGACTCTTTATTAGGCTCTCAAATATCCCCTGCACATGTATGTAGTTTTGTGGATATCCAGGGATATGTGGAGACCTCATTTAGCCCTTTTGTGGTCTCCCCATTAAAATTTCTGATGCCACTCACACCAACCAGAACAGTAACTTCAGGCTAGAGTCAACATGTAGGCTTTCCTCTTTGTATTTCCTTCAGAGTTTGCCCCCTTTATCTGATAAACCTGTGGGTTTTTATTCCTTTCATCAAATTAAGTCTTTCTCCAATGCCAGCAAAGCTGCCAGTTCTCTTGTGTATCCCATGCCAATAAAATTGCAATTCTCATGGATTGACTTGGGGCAGTGGATGGAAGCAGCCCTAGGCAGGAGGGCCACAGATTTTCTCTTTACTCAAAGCTCTAGCAGTTTTTTCAAAATAACTGCTTTTCAATTTGTTCTCTTTATCTACTTCCAGCACTATCAAAGAGTTGTTTATAACCATTTGATTCAGTTTGTGTGACTGTATGTATGTGTGAATATGATTCACAGACCTCTTCACAATGCCATAGTCTCTCTTTACATTTTTACATTTTGATGAAATCTTACTTTGTAGTTTAATGTTTACCCAATATAACTATAAACAATAGTATTATTTTGTGTGTCCTAAAAAGGCCAGTTTTTCCTTAATACTCTTTAAAAATTAACCTTGATATCTACAGATCTAGTCTGGTCCTTTTAACAACTACAAAACTCCATATAGTATTCACTACATATGAATACATCAAATTTTCCTTTTACTTATCCCTACATATTTAGGTGACTTTTTACAATTACAAACAGTGATACAGTGAACATCTTTATTCATGTTTTCTTTTAAATTTTACTAGACATGGCCAGGCATGGTGGCTCACGCCTGTAATCCAAGCACTTTGGAGGTCAAGGCAGGCGGATCACCTGAGGTTGGGAGTTCAAGACCAGCCTGACCAACATGGTGAAACCCCATCTTTATAAAAAATAAAAAATAAATAAATAAAAATTTACTAGACATATTCAATTTAGTCTCCAAATTTCATATCACTTTACACTCACTCTTACTACTTATGAATAAACAGACCCATTTACTCATAATTTGCCAACTGCTATATATTTTTAAATTTTAAAAATGTTCATATAGGATGAGTGAAATTTTAATCTTGCATTTTTAAAGATACATATCATTTTAAGATGTGTGACATCCTGCCAAATTGCTCTCCAGAGTTTTTTATCAAATGTTATTATCAATTCTGGTGTTATCATTTTTTAAAATTTTGACAATTGGTAGACAAAAAGTAACTTTGCTTTTACTTTTTAATTACTATTATGATTGAAACCTTTTCCATATGAATTTTGGCCTTATTTATTATTTTTAGAGACAAGGTCTTACTGTGTTGTCCAGGTTATAGTGCAGTGGCACACTCATAGCTCATTGCAGACTCAAACCCCTGGCTCAAGCAATCCTCCTGTCTTAGCCTCCTGAGTAGCTAGGAATATACATACTTGCTACCACACTCAGCTATTTTTTTTTTTTTTTCTTGGTAGAGACGGGCTCTCACTATGTTGCCCAAGCTGGTCTAAATTCCCGGCTTCAAGTGATCTTCTCACCTTGGCCTCTATTTATTTTTTATCCAGGGCTTGATACTTTTTAAAAATCTATTTTTTTTTCTGTGTAAATATAAATGTTAGCTCTTACATTTAGGCCAATGATACATTATTAATGTTTGTGTATGGCATGAGTAAGAGTCCAGTTTTTTTTTTTTTTTTTTTTTTGGCATGTGGTATCCAGTTATTCCAATATCATTTGTTGTAAAGACTAGCCTTTCCATACTGAATTACTTTTGTACATTTATCAAAAATTAATTGGTCGTAATTATACGGGTCTATTTCTGTACTCCATTGTTTTCTGATGACTCTGATCTCTGTGTCTGTCCTTTCACAATATACCACATTCTCTTGATTAGTGCTTTATAGTAAATCTTAAAATCAGGTATTATGATTCCTCCAACTGTATGCTTTTCCAAAACCATTTTAGCTATCCTAATTTCTTTGCTTTTCCATACAAATTTTAGAGTCATATTGTCTATTTTTACAAATGCTTCTGTTGGGATTTTGACTGTAATTATGTTAAATCCGCAGATCAATCTTGGAAGACTGATATCTTTACTATATTGTCTTCCAATCCATACATAGCATGTCTATTTATTTAGGTCATCTTTAATTTAGTTTTGTAGTTTTCAGCACACAAATACTGTACATATTTTGATAAATTTATACCTAAATATTTCATGTGCAGGGATGGGGCTACTGTGATATTTTTAAAAAATTTTGTTTCCAGTTGTTCATTGCTACTATGTAGAATTACAATTAAGTTTTGTGCATTGACCTTGTATACTGTGATCTTGTTAAACTTAAACATATCAGAACTAGGATTTTTGTAGATTATTTGGCATTTTCTTCAGAGACAATCATTTTGACAGCAAATAGGGACCATTTTATTTTTCTTGCTTTCTTGCATTTGCTGGACTTCTTCTAGTAGTATGCTGAATAGGAGTAATGAGAGTGAACATCCTTGCCTTGCTCTTGATCTTACGGGGTAAAATAGTCACCACTAAACATGAAATTAGTTGTAGGGTTCTTGTATATGCCTTTTATCAGATTAAGGAAGTTCCCTTCCATCATGAATGGATGTTAAATACTGTCAGATGCTTTTTCTGCAACAACTGATAAAATCATGTGCTTTCTATGACTGGACTGTTAATATGGTGGAGGTACACTGACAGATTTGAACATTAAACCAGTTTAACATCCTAAAAAAAAACTACTTGATCACGGTAGGCTGTGATCATACCACCCTAAACACGCAGGACATCATTAGACCATTGCTATATATTTTGTTGCTTTTTTTTAACTGCGCACATGAAAGGTCTTGATCTGTAGTTGTCTTTTTTTTTTTTTCTTGTAATGTTTTCGCAGAGTTTTGATATCAGGTCTTGCTGGCCCCATAAAATTAGAAAGTGTTTTCTCCTCCTCTATTTTCTGAGACAGATTATGTAGAATTGGTATTATTCTTTCTTTAGATGTTAGATAGAATTCCCTGGTGAAATCACCTGGGCCTGGAGATTTCTTTCTTAAAAGATTAACTACAAATTCATTAAAAAGAAATAGTTAAGGGCCTATCCAGGTTATCTGTTCATCTTGACTACATTGTTTTTAATTTTATTTATGGTACTTTGTGACAAATAAAAATGTTAGACATTTTTATAATTAAATCTGTCAAACTATTCTTTTATGGTATGTCTTTGTGTGCTTAGAAAAGTTCTTTCCTCCAATTTTTAAAAATATTTTAGCATTTTTATTCCAGTACTGTATTTTCTTCTAGTTAATTTACATTTTTAGTTTTAATGCATAAAATGTTACTCCATCTGGAATTTAATTTAGTGAATGAGACAATAAAAAACTGTATTTTTAAAATTAAAAATTAGTATATAAGACAAGAATACAGCCTTGAAATCTCTCAACTCTATAAACATAAACGTTTTTTTTTTAAAAAAAGCTAAAATTTGTATATATTCACAGATTAAATTTCTTATGACCACAAGACTACTTTTAAAAAGCTCAAGTATATATGGAGATATACACTGTGAATATAGACAAGGAAATCTTAAAAGGAGAAAAAGGATTAGCTGAAAAACAAAGAATCAGGAAGTCTTCAATGGATATTTATGCTTAAGAAAGTAATTAAAAGATCAAAACTTCGGCAAATTGAAAAAAAATGTTTATTTAATGACATGGAGAATACAAGCATTGAAAAAAGTAGGATGCAAAGCTTTCTCTATAATTCTACCCTTCTCCCTAAGTGGAAAATAACATACACAAAAAGGTTACATTTATAAGCAGAGAAAATAGACATTTTTTTAAATGATCAAGTTACATTCTTCATGGAGCCTAAATTCCTCCTGACAGACCATTGAATCCATCAGTGTCCATTAATCTGATCAAGTCAACAGAGAATGATATATTGTCCTCCCTCGCTGGTTCATTTGTGTCTCTCCAAAGCCACCCACTTTCAAAAAGATGACCTTGCCAGACAAAGAACTATTGTTGAAGCATAAATTAATCAGTTGGTTTTCTCTGGAACCCACAGTATCTAACTATTGAATATGGGTCAAGAAAACTCTGCTAGCAAACATTCTCTCTTGTAAGCCAGAGTAAAAGAGTCAAGGAGACTGAAAGTGGAGGAGGAGACAGGGAGCCATTTATCACTGAATTTCCTCATCAACGAATCCTGCACAGGCCACATTCATAGTGTGTGTGATCTCTACTAGTTAGGAAGGCAAATCTTGCTGAGATTCAAAATAAAGAAAGGATATAGAAATCAGATGATTTATTTGTTTCTGACATTCCAACAAATGTGAGGGTATAGTATCAGGTCTAAATTAATGTGTAATTGATTTTGTATGAGACTGTGATCAGCCTAATCTTTCCATTACAGGAATAAATAGCTGATTAGAATCTCAGACTGTATGCCAATGTGCTTTCCTCATGTGACTGAAAAATGATAACTTCAAGGCTATCTCTTTTACCTACCCCTGTGGTGGGCCTCTCCAGACATGGCATAAGCTTTGGCCAGTAATGCACTCGTTTCTGCAGTTTTGGGGCTGACTTCAGTGAACAAAGAAACACAGATAGAATGAGCCTGAAATAAAGAAAGTCATGACAAGGTAAGCAACCAAATGACAGTGTTCACTGTAGATTCAGATGAGAAGTGAGTTTGAGTCCCAGCTCTCCCACTTCCTAGCTCTGAGTCTTGAGGAAGTAATTTCACTTTCATTTGTAGAAGGAATATATAATTGCCACTGATTAAGGTTTGGGAAAGATTAAGTGAGATGGTATATGCAAACCACAGAGCATGGTACCCATCACATGGTAAGTCCTCAATAAATGTTAGCTAGTATTATTTTTATTAGATTTCATACCAAAATAAAGTCATAACCTTAACTTAGTCTCACTGGACTGAACTCCAGTCTTGACAGTCTTGGAAATGTAAATCACGAATAATGAGAATCGTATTTGCCAAGAAAAGTTGTTGTAAACATTGAATTAATATATATAAAGTGGTTAGAAAACCACCCAGCATATAGTAAGCACTAAAAAAGTGTTAGATTTCATATTATTTGTGCTAAAATGGAAGGTGTAACACTTAGAAAAGAGAAAGAAACATTTGAGTCCACATCCGCCAGCAACAAAAGAACCACATATGCTTAATATTTCACAGGCCAAATACTGTGAGGTGTTTCAAAGAGCTGAAGGGATTATCACAGAAGACTTTGGAACCAAGACACAGAGCAGAGTTGTTGTAAGTACAGGCTGTAGGGTCAAATTTGGAGTTCAAATCCCTGCTTTGCTATTTGTTAGCTATACAATGTCAGCTGAGTTAGCTATAACTCTTTGTGCTTCTGTTTTCTCATCCTTAAAATGAGATAAAACAATAATGATATCTACTTTATACAGCTATTGTACAAATTAAATGAATCAATATATCCTCTAGGGCACTTAGAAAAAGCATTCCATGAATTTTAGCTCTTATCTTTTAGGAAACACTGATATTTATTGTTTTATTCATTCTGATCTGACCACTGCTTTAAGAAAGTCTGGAACACAAAAACCAGACTGGCTTTCTCTGTAAGCAGTGTACTCCCTGCCTTCAGAGTAGCATTCTCTGACATCTCTCCACTGTGTGATGTTTATAATCGTGGATTGTCAGATTGTTTGCAATGCCTTTTCTTCAGAATGTGTTTTCATGTATACCGTTAGATTGCATTGCACCTTTTCTATGATACAGGATATCCAGTATTTTGATCTGTTTGTCACTGTGGGAGATACCTAAAGCCATGGGCAGCATTCTCCTTTGGAAGAGAGAAAAGGTGAATTTAGCAGCTTCAAGTACATGATACATAAAAGTACTCTAAACTGTTACCCCATGATAGACTCAACATTCCTTCCTATGCTTTATTTTGTTTTCCCCTGGGCATTTGCCAAGTTAGTTACCTCCAAGTGAAACACCCTTTTGCTAGTTTAACCTTAGGTTTGGAAATATAATCAACTAGACTGGTTTAAAGTATAAATTACAGCATTACCCTACAAAAATACCATGACTTTCATTTAAAAGGTCCTTTGTTTTTGCTGAAGATTAAAGTTCGGCTGCCCCTGTCTTTTTTCCTTGGAGGACACTCACACTTTGCTTCTCTTCCTGGCACCAACAGCGATGAGAATGGGCACCTGGCAGGGGGAAGTGTTGGCCGCATATCAAATGACGTGGCACTTTCACCCACCTGAATCAGTCTTCTCTGCCCTGGTCATTTAAGGTTTGATCAAGGGCTCTTAGGTGGATCCCGAGGAAAGTGAGGGTTAAAATAGAATCAATTATACCCCTTGTTCTTCTGAGAAGCCCATGCTTCCCTGACCCTGAGAACCAGGCCTGGGGCCAAACAAGGCGATCTAGCCTGGGCTCCGGCCAACCCACCCACCTGCTGCAAGTACTGGATGGCCTGGTTGTGGTTCTTCCTCAGCTGCTCAATCTGAGCAGTTTCCTCATACAGGCTGATCAGATCTGACGTCCTATGACTCTTGGCAGCAATCACATCGCCAATAGCCTTTTCAAAGTATGCCAGAGCTAGGTTCAGCCTGTGGATGGCCAAGGAGGCTCTGCAAGAAAAGGGATTAAAGTAGAACGTCACCGAGAGGCCACTTACTTTGCAGACACAAAAGGAAATGATTCCAAGAATTAAAGAATTTGGCCTTCACAAGCCCATCATCTTTGTAGCTGGCTCAAAACTCCAGCCTTGCTGTAATAAACTCCAATTATCCTGCATTTTACCCAACAGATTCCACTAATGACCACTCATTAAACCCATTACTATGTTGTGCTATTGTCTAATTTTTTAAAAAAGCAAATGGAAAAATGGCTTCCAGGAATTCACAAGATGGGATAATTTACCCATAAACATAGACTTTCTAAAATCAAAATAAAATTTTATTACCTCTGGTTCCCTCTCTTTCAGGCCAAAGAAAGTTTTTGCTTTGTTTTGTTCAATTTAATTTGGCCTATTCCTCCTCAGCTAAAAATGAGAGAGGATAGAAAAAAAAAATGTAAATATTCCATAAATTATAGTATATCGTACAATAAAATACTTCAGAGATATTAAAAGTCATGTTTTCTTTTTAGACAGATATAGGGAGATATTAAAAATATGCTAAAAGGAAAAAGATATAAAACCGTACTTCAAATGTGATCTATATAAAGATATAGTTATTGATATCCACATATATCTGTCCAAAATGTTCATAGCAGTTATGTCTGTGTGGTGAAATCACAATTGGCTTTTTTATTCTTCATACCTGTCTGTATTTTCAAATTTTCCACAACGAAGTTGGAAATATAATTTTTTTTAATGGGGATAAAACAGTATCTCTTTGAGGTTTATTTTTCCAGAGGCAGCAAGGCAAAATGAGAGCATGGATAGTTCAAAGCTGGTTCTAGTAGTTATTAGCTTTATCACATTCTACAAGCCTACAATTCCTTCTAAATAAAGCAATTGAGTATATCTATATTTCAAGGCTGCTGTGAAGAATATTAAGTGTAAAATCACCTAACATATAGCAGATATACAATCAATATTCCTTCTTCCTCACTCCAATCTTTGTATTCCTAAGTTGAATTAAAAATATATGTGTGAGTCAGGTGTGGTGGTATCTGCCTACAGTCTCTGCTTCTGAGGAGGTTGAATCCAGGAGTTCAAGGTTTCGGTGAGTTCTGATTGCACCCTGCACTCCAGCCTGAGTGACAGAGTGAAAAGCTATCTAAATGAAAATAATAGAAATACATATCCTTATTGGCTGTGGTGACGACTGAGTGAAATAAATTATGTAAAGCACTTAGACCAGTGTCTAGTATGTAGTTATACTTAGCAGGCACTCCAACGCTTAGAACAGGATATGCATCAATAAATACTGGAGAATGGATTAATAAAATGAGCACCAGAGTTTTTCTGAAAAAGGAATAAGGCTATCTTTCACATAAGGCAGAAGAAACTTTAGGCCCTATGTGACAGGAGTAGACATTCACCAGACTCTAATTTATGGCCCTATGGACTTAAGTCATAGTTTGATTTAGTTCTGGACATTCCAGCATCTCCCCATTTCCCATTTGACTTCTAGATTCATGGTTGTTTAGAGGAGGCAGACACGACACATGTATTTCATTTACTTGCCATTCAGTCATATACTGTACCATGCCAAGTGCTTACAGTTTTGGAAACAGATTGCTTTCAAGGATGTAGAGGTATTTGAAAAATCTAGGGTACAGTAAACTCTTTATTCTTTGTCTTCTAATAAGCTGATGGACCCACATTCATTTCTAAATATTCTGATTCTCAGAGGATCCCTAACTCAACAGCAAGACAGTTAAATCTTGTTCTGGCTTAAACAAATTCCATATGAACTTTGTTTTCATATGAAACAGAACTTTCCTTAAAAATGTACATGCTGTGTGTAGCCTTCACAGCTTCCAGTTGTCTTCATTACGTGTTCCTTCATCTAAAATGTCACATGTAGTGACAAAAATAGGTGGCAATTCAGAGAAAAACATAATCTTAGAGTAAGTTTGAGAGGCACGTATAAGCAAGACTAAGAGTTAATGAGTCCAGATCATGGATCCAACACTTACAAGCTGTGCTGTCTTGGACAATTCATTTAACCTTGGCTTCAGTCGCCTTGACCCCCCTTCAATAAAATAATAATCATACCAACTACCTCAATGGCTGTTGTGAGGATTAAATGGAACAGTACACAAAAAGCACAGTGTATGTGTTTGGTAAATATGAGCCTCTTTTATTATTATTTGAGTTTCTGGGTTTTTTTTGCTCTATATATTTTTCTCCCTTATATCACATAATTCCAGGACTCACTCATAAAAGCCTCAGCTTCTCCAAGCCCATATCTTACCTGCCCAAAGCAAGTGTTAGGTCTTTCTCAGAAACTTCTAATTCACAAACATCTCCTTTATATAATTCTTTCAGCTCCTTCATGTTTCTCTTTGCCTTCTGCAGGTTGAAATAGGCTTCTCTGCCAGTGAAATAGTCAAGGAAAATGCCAAGCACTCAAACAAACTGCCACCACACAGGAGTGGGTGATAAGGAAACAAAAGGGGCTCTTGGAAAAATGAAGCAATATTAAAAATGGGTACTTAACTATGTTCTCTATGTTAGGAAGGAAGAATGCTTTAGAAAAGGAACAGGGGCTTGGGTTTCCTGCGGTGGTTGCCTGAATCCAAGACTAAAATAGGTAGGGACTGTTTGCAGGAATGAACGGAAACTGTAAATTACACTCGATTTCCTTTAGAGGCATCTACTGCGTGACAACAGTTATTCATTCTTCCCAAGCCAGTTCCTGTGAATGGTAAAAGAGAGGAACTAATTATGCTGAAAGGAACTTTCTGGGTCATTTAGAAAGTCCAAGCAAAGTGGGTTTTTGGCCAGAAGCAAACAGCAGAAAAGCAAAAACCCCCTTAATTCCCAAACATTCTTCTATTTCCCACATTTTCAACAGTCCCCTGCTAAGGGTATTACAGAAGAAGGCCACATATCAGATTTTACAGGTTGAGCATTAGGACCAAAAAAGTAGACAGGGGAATGTGTAGAGAGGAGACTGGGGACACGTGGGCTCAAAGAGTGCTCATGGTGATTTGTGAGCATCAAATGCCCTTAACATCTTTCCAGTGGAGATGGTACAAAAGGTTGTCAAAATCCCAAGTTCTGAGGAAAGGCACCTATTAACAGTCCCCCTCTGGGGATTTGGAAAACTACTTGTTTTGTCTACTTTGCTTGGCCTCCAGCCTCATGGGCAGTATCCCCAAGAGCATTTCAAAAAACTAAAATGATCAAGAGTCAGCTTAATCAGTGGTTTTGGGCTACGTATTATAATCACTGGAGGGCTTTAAAAAACGTCAACGAACAGATGTGCCTCAGAGCTACTCAGTCAAAATCTTTGGGGTAGGAACAGATAGCAGAAATTCTTAAAGCTCCCCAGGGGATTAAAATGTGTAGCCTACTTTGCCAAATTGTGCTTTAAATTACCACCCATTCTCTCCATCCCTACATCACCACCACATCCTCATCCTCATTGCTAATACTGATTTTCTTGGGGGCTCAATGAAGAGCAGAACAGACTCAGAAAATCTTCGACTGGCTAGGTGATGTGTCGCTAATGAAACCCCTACCATGGCTCAATACAGAGCTTATATGAACAGACACAGGAAGAGAATACACACCCTTTAAGATGGAGAAGAAAGGATTGTGGAGGGCCTGGATGTTGGAATGTTGGAATAGATCTACAAGGCCTTGGTTCCATCTCCACCCTCCTGTATGAAATGACCCATCTGGCATGTGTGGCCTCTGGCCCCAAACACTAAATTCAACTGGGAAGGGAAGGATATCGGTTCTGCAGGAGCCAGGCCACCCCTAGAGTGTAGTACAGCATGACCAGAGCTTCCAGGATTTCCTCTTTCTCCTTATCTGAGGTCGTATTTGCCTTCCAGGTCAACAGTGTATTCTTAGCGGACACAGCATGTTTTTTGGCCTGAACTGGGAGGCCTAGGGGAGTTAAAGGGTGGGTAGCAAGAAAACAGACATTAAAAAGGCATGCTTCAGTCAAAAACATTCCTGGGAGGGGATAAAATGGACAGTGCAGTTATCATATGGCCTATAGTATTGGTTCCTAAATTTGACTGTGAATCAGAATTATCTGAAATGCTTGTAAAGAATATAGATTCCTGGGCCCCACCCAAGACCTACTGATTGGGGAATCTCTAGAGAAGTGGGGTCCAGGAATCTCTAATTTTAGTCTGTACCACAAGTGGTTCTTATTCAGCCCTCTCAACATTAACTTTCAGACCTCAGTTTGGAACTCAAGATAGAGACAGGAATTGAAGGTAAGTATCCTATTCCTGATTCTGCCACTAATGCCATGTGAACTTTCCAACCCACAAAGCTTCTCCATCCTCCAGTTGTTGAACAACAATAATAACTACAGAAGCTGCCCTTACCAAACACATGGAGATAGTCCAGGAACAAAGGAGGTTATGCCATAGAGTGCTGTGCATTGAGCTTTCAGAAAAGGCATTCTATAAATACAAGGGCTTATGAATGCAATTACTTCCATCTGGGGATTTTTTTTTTTTTCAATCTAAGATGAATCTGGTGATACTAATTGGTCACAAAACACCCATAAAAAGAATGCAATTGCTAAATGCAGTGAGGTCCCAAACTAAGAAGACAAAGGCAAGGCCAGACCCCAGCTAGACAGAACTGGTGGGGTTTTTCCCCTTTTCTTTCCTTTTCCTTTTCATTTATTGTTTGTTTGATTTTTTTAGATTAAAAAATACAAACCCTTGTGTCAAGGGCTGAGTTTCAATAGACTGAGGTGGGGGAGCTGCTCTGCTACATACAAAACCCTAAGCCAAAGGCAGGTCACCTAATGATTCAGCACCAGGTTCCCCTCAAATATGCATTGCATGAAGGGTAAAGGGGCAGCCCCCTTTCCAGCCACATCTCATTTCTTTTTCCCCTTGTTTTCTAACTAAAGGCTGGTATTCCTGGGCACTTAAATGAGCTGCTATTCGTCCAGTCAACAGAGGTAGACCTGGGAAGACTGAAAACAACGGGTAGGGTTCACTTTCAGTCCTATGTAGGCACCTACGGACTGGTAAGCATATTCACCCCTGCCAAGTGGGCTACCATGCCCCAAATCCTCACTTCATACCCCCTGCCCCAGTCCTGCTCAGCAAGCTGCCTTTGGCTCCTGAAGCCTAGTTTCTCTGAATAGGGGCAAGTCCATGGCAATAAGGATACATTTAAAAGTTTGTCTTTGATCCCTGCAGCCCTCATGTGTTCTAAGTGCACCTCCTGAATGAGTTACAGCAATGAAAGGGAACAAGTTCTTGGGTCCTTAGAACTAAGTTCTAGATTCTTGGGCACCACCCAAGACCTCCTGAGTGGGGGGAATCTCTAGGAGTAGGGTCCAAGAATCTCTAATTTTAATCCTGGGGCCCTGAGTGGGGTCCAGGAATCTAGAACTGTGTTCTAAGGACCTCCTGACTAAGTTACAGCAATGAAAGGGAACAGGGCCTTCCCTGGGAGAGTTCTAAAGGTGACCCAGGTTCCTTTTCCCTTTTGCAGCCATCGTCTAAGCAGCAGTGGTCAGAATGAAGTTCAATCCTTTTGTGATTTCTGACCAAAGCAAGAACCATAAAAACAATTTCAAATGCACCTTCTCAAATTCACAAGATTATGTGTTCCCTTCTTTCCAAAGAGCTGAGACAAAAGTACAATGCTTGATCCATGCCCCCTCAAAAGAATAATGAAGTTCAGATGGTGCAAGGACACTATAAAGGTCAGCAAACTGGCACAGTTAGTCACGTTTACCAGAAGAAATATAACATCAATACTGATAGGGCGCAGCGGGAAAAGGATAACGGCACAACTATCCACGTGGGCATCGACCCCACCAAGGCAGTTATCACTAGGCTAAACTGGAAAAGAAAAAAGATGCTTCAGTGGAAAGCCAAATCTTACTTAGCAGTAATGGAAAACGGTAGATATAAGAAAGAAACATTTGAGAAGATGCAGGGACAAAGTACCCCTAAATACACCTTTCACTAAAAACTGCAAAAATAAAAATAAAGGTGATCCAGAGTCAAGAAGTCTCTGCAGAACACTCAGAAATATCGGTTCTATAGGTCTCAAATGAAGAGAAAAATGGACTTTGGTGAAAGAGAGGGCTGTGTCCTAAGTTAAGAGTGACCTTCAAATTGCACTGTGCATTATAAGCACCCTGTTAAAATGCAGATTCCTGTACTGCACTTCCAGTAGTCACAGCTCACAAGTTCTGGGGTAAGAACCAAGAATACACATTTACAACAAGCAACCATGTTTCAGGTGGTAACCAAGGATTCTCATTTGTAAGAACTAATCTTGGTAATAACACAAGGTTGTATGAGGACCACACTTGAAGAAACACATAGTGAAATCTTTAAAAAAGAAGTAGGACTCATCTTGTTTTTCAAGAATGGATAGGATTTTTTACTGATACAAGGAGGGATTTCCACTTGGATTAAATAGCTTGAGGCCATGAAGACAGAAAAAGCAAGTGTGCGTATGTGTGTGTGCTACACTGGGGGATGAAATTGGGTGGATATAGGATTGTTAGGGAAGGAAAAAAGATGACTGAAGGGAAACTCTGAACTGAAAAACATATAAGCTATGCACTAAATATGTAAAAAGTCTTGGATGATGTCTTAATTTGTATGTGCTGTTAATAACAGAATACCTGAGACCAGGTAATTTATAAAGAACAGAAATTTCTCACAGTTCTGGAAGCTGAAAAGTGTAAGATGAAGACACCAGCTTCTTGCGAGGGACCTCTTGCTGTGTCCCACATATGATGAAAAGTTGAAGAGAATAAGGACCATACACCACAAAAAGCTGCTTTGGTAAGGGCCTTAATCCTATTGATGAGGGTGGAGCCCTCACAGCCTAATCAACTCTGAAAGGCCCCACCTCTTGATGCTATCACATTGGCAGCACCTGAACTCTGGAGAGGACATGCTCGGATCATAGCAGATGCCAAGATGAGGAGGTTGAATTTGATCTGTGAGGTAACAGGGAGTCTTCACAGGTCTTGAGGAAGAAGGCAGCATCACTACTTAGCTCACAGAAAACTCTGCTTCAGATACTGGAAGCCGAGATTGCCACTTTAGACCAAGAAAATAAAGTCAAAAATTGAGAGACTGTTTTGATCAAACAGGTCATTTTCCACAAGTAGGTGGGCCATTGGGAGTGTGTCACTAAGGGCTGTGAAAACCAAATTCAGACAGTTCGTAGGAAGAAGAAAGGTAAAACTGGAAGAGCTACTGAAAACCACCCCAAATCGGCAGACACCACTTCTGGGTTTGTGAATGGCAAATAAAACAACTACCACTCAAGAAAGTTGTTCTGAGGCTTCGCAAGCCTGCGCCCTCCCTGCCAAAGTATCCCACGCTGGTTGTGCAATTCCCAGGGGGAATACTTTCCCTGTCAGCTCACCAGCTAATTAATCATACAGTTCCTTGCTTTGAGATGACCAGGCCCCACATTGTGGGCCTTCTGATGGAAAAGCTGAGCCTAATGATACGTAAGCAAACTAAACGAGGATCTTAATTTAAAACAGTTTATTATATTTTAAGCCCTAAAGGGAAAAATCCACTTCTTTCACTTTCCCAGAATCCATTCTGATCTCCAAAGTGGAGTGTGTGAACTCTTACAGGTATGCAAGATGCCATAAGAGTGTGGGGAGGAAATCAAAACATCTCTATTTTTTTCATCTGAAGCCTTTTTCTATTTTTATAACTATTTATAAAATTACGCAACATCAATACTGTTGTACACAATCTATTTAAAATCTATGTATAAAGAGTAATTGTTTGCTCAAGTTTCTTTTAGTGATAAAGGAGCTGTCTCTTGAGTTTGGATACCACTGCTCTAAACAAATGTTTTTCCAACCTTTTCAAGTATGAAAGAGCTCTTTCAATATATTTTTTTAAAAATCACACTTGGATGATCCAACATAACGGAAGAGGAACAGCTCTGGAGTCCAGTTCCCAGTGAGAACAACACAGAGGGTGAGTGATCACCACATTTCCAAATGAATTTTTACTGCCTACAGACCAGGTGATTCCCAGGCGGAAAAGCACGAGTCACCAGCACGGCTGTTTCAGCCAGTGCAGCGGGTCTCCACATAAAAACTCACACAAATATGGGCATTGTTTCAACTGGCACCTGGAACGCCTGGGATACAGTCACTCATTCAACTGAAAAAAAGGGGACTGAAACAGGGAGCCAGGTGATCTGGCTCAGTGGGTCCCACCCCCACAAAGAACAGCAATCTGAAACGCTCTAGATTGAGAGTTTCACAGCAAACACAGCTCTGTGGGGGAAAGGGTGTTGGCCATTACCGAGGCAGTCCGCCATTACTGAAGCAGTCTGCCATTATGGAGGCAGTCTGCCATTACAGAGACAGTCTGCCATTACTGAGGCAGACCGCCCTTACTGAGGCAATTCTAACTATACCTCTATAAACAAAACTGCAAGGAAGTTCACACAGCAGCTGGGCAGAGCCCATGGAAGCTCAGAAACACCTCTGCTGGCAGACTGTGAGTAGGCTACCTCCTTGCTGGGCACAGCATCCCTAAAAAAAGGCAGCAGCATGTTAGGAACTTATAAATAAAGCCCCACCTTCCCAGGATGGAGGAACTTGGAAAAAAAGGTGGTTATAAGTTCCACTGCAGCAGACTTAAATGTACCTGCCCAGCAGCTCTGAATGGAACAATGAAGCTCACAGCTCAGCATTTGAGCTCCTATAAGGAACATACTGTCTCCTCAAGTAGCTCCCCAACCCCCATATATCCAAAACAACACCTCATAAAGAAGAGCTCAGGCTGATATCTGGCAAGTATCCTTCTGGGACAAAGATAACAGAAGAAAAAACTGGCAGCAACCCTTACTATTCTGCAGCCACTGCAGGTGATCCCCAGGCAAGCGGGTCTAGAGTGGACCTC